ATGGAGTGACATTAATTCCGACAAAAAAAACAATTTGCTGTTATTTTTTGTCGTCTGTCCAATAATGTACACTTATTCAACAATTTTTGCCCAGTATTGTATACTTATTTAACCCTAACCTCGTCAATAAACCCACTCTATCCTCTAATCTAGACCTATTAACAACACCAACACCAAAAATAACATTAACGAATATCGCTACCAACAAATCGCAGCACCCATAGATAACTCCACCAAAGTCGTTACCTACAAAGACGCCAATATTACAACACCGACAAAAGCGTAATGTTAAAATGTAACGATGACGCCAACAGCGAAACGACACTATAGAAGAAAAGAAAGGTGAAACAATATTAAGCGCACTAATAAAATGGCAATACAAGAAAAACACAACACTGCACTGGTAAAAGCAAACTCAATAAATTACGCCAATTACACCACCATATGACCTCTACGTCATTACCTACGAAACGTGAAAACGCAACGACAACAATTGCAACACCAAACCAATGATGACACTAACGGGCAAGACGACGCTATAGCTAAGAAAAAATACATATATATATATACTTATATGCAGATCCTGCAGGGACTATGATTTACTGCGATCACGAATTCTTCTTAAAAACAGCTAACCACAGAAATCATTCTTAATCACACGCAGAATTTAGTCTTATCCAAAACAGAAAATCATCGTCCCTACCCCGGTTAACTTTTATAAAACATTTTATTATTTATATTTTTTAAAAAGAAGTAAATACAAGAGATTTTACGTATAAAAAATTTATAATTATATTGTGGAGTCATGACTGCACTAAAAATTCTCATATTTTTGTTAGAATTTTAGAATTTTAGAATTATTTGATTGCATGATTAATTTAGTTGGCTAAAATCATTAACCAACCAATAGAAAAAATTTTGTCGACTTGTGCCATTAAGTGGAAAGGAGGGAAAAGAATGTATAAAAAAAAAAATAGTACATAATATTTATCATTATAATAGAGACACAGAAAAATATCGATATAGATAAATCAGAAACCAAAAAATAGTACATAATATTTATCATTATAATAGAGACACAGAAAAATATCGATATAGATAAATCAGAAACCTAAAAATAGTAATTAAAATTATGTAACTTCCTGTAACATTTGGCTAGTGTGCATATAATAGCAATTTAAATTTTACATTATTTATACAGTTTAAAGTACTTTTCAAAAAAAATAAAACTAAGAGAAGTTAGATTATTTTTAATAGTAGAGTCCTACAATATTAATAAAACTTTCTATATACTTCTTTTTTGTTTATTCTTCGTAGTTTTATTTTTTTTTGAAAAGTACTTTAAACTGTATAAATAATGTAAAATTAAATCGATTTAAACAGCCAATCATACGAATATCTGCCTATGAGTATGCATATTATAAAATCAACCCGAAATGGGTTTTTTATATAAATTCCGATCCACTTAAATTCCGTTTCCACTTACAACATATGATGTACGTATGTCCGGAGCTTTTAATGTTTTTGTTACACTAAATGCAAAATAAAAGGCACAACTATTGGACAGACATCATATTATAAAATTATGTTATTAATTATGTAATTATTGATGCATCAAAAACGTAACCTTGACTAATCATTAAATGTCAAATTTTCTTAAATAAAAAAATTCGATTATTTTCGCGACGACATCATGGCGGCCCTCAAAGTTCAGATTAATAATCTATATCATTATCATAGTTATTATAGCATTTACCAATATTATGGATCATAGCACAAATTTGTAAAACGATAATGAAAAATTGTATTAAGGAACGACCAGATCACTTCATTCGTTAACAACTTAATGCTGCGGCAGTAACGTCGATCATCAACCCACAGTAATAAAATGTTTTAATTTTATCAAGTGGAAAATTTTCTAAAAAATAATCCATCAGGAATCTAATATCTGCATATTTAACAACCATTGTTGAAGAGTAAACGGTAAATCCGTCATCAATAAATTAAAACTTCATAACACTAATTAGTAAAAATGATTTGAAAACTATATATATTATATATTTTAATAATAATTTATATTTTTTATTTTACATGTATCGAGCTCTTTTTTCATTAAACTATATATTACACAATCAATCTTTTCAATAAACATAGTTAAAATTTTCCTTGGTGATAGTTAGGGTTGGAATTTGTTTTTTGTTTTTTTTTTAATGGAGAATTTTACAGATCAAACCCCGAAAAATGTGATTTTAACACATCATATAACGATAACGATAATATATGTTGTGCTTAATTTAAATTTATCAGGAATCTGATCAGAAAGCGGAGTCATCAAAAATTGAAATTACCGCTTTGCAGCAATCAGATGGTATGTAAAGAAATTTTAAACGAACCAATTTTTATTAATTTATCATTTATTACAGTATGACGCATAAATGCTGAAATGACAATCAAATTTTAATTTTACGCGACTCAATTTAAACTTACGCCGCGATAGATAAATATTTAAGTATTCACATACTTAATAAAATAAAAATATAATGTATATTTATTATTACAATAAATTAATTAATATTGTTCTATCGCTCTTACTTTACAAATTCTTTATAACGCCCATGTGCGTTATTACGCGCCAATACTAATAAATATTAATACATTACGGCGCGTTTGTCAAATTTAACTAATTTTTTGTCCTAAATTTAAGTTTTGGGACAAAATTTATTATCGACTTTCCAATATTGAACCCAAAAAAAATTATTGACACTCCAATCTATAATAACAATGCGTCTAACGCTCTTTGACACTTCAATTTATTATAATAACACACCTTAACCTGGGAAGCTTAGCCAAAATTGCTATTTATGTATTAGCAGTCAAATTTTTCAAATGCGTCATAATGTAAACTTGTTATGTACGTACATATCAAAAGTATTCTATTCGTTTATTAGTTATCTATGCTCTTTAATTAAAGTTGGCACTATTGCTTAACGTTAATACTGTATTAATGGCTATATTTAATTAGAAATAATCATGGTGTGTCGTAACACCTAAGTCCATTATCAAATAAAATAAAAGTATGCAATTTATTCTTTAGATGACTCTTATATTTGTTAAAAAAATGCTATAGACTAGAAAAACAGGCACTAGTTAAGAGTGTTCTCAAGCAGCACGCTCAATGTAATTTACTATTGATTGAAATAGTGTTCAACAATAGGGATGTTAATCGGTCCCGCAGTAATTGCAGCCGACTTTGAGCAAGATTTATAAAAAATTGGCATATTTAACCGGGCATCCGTCCAATAAATAGTCATTTTCTAATAGAAGTTTATCGGCTTTTGCATTGGTTTTTGAGTAATTTAGACGGGACCGATTAACTAAATTTTCTCCACACTGATCGGTCCCATCTAAATTACTCAAAAATTAATATTAGTAAAATAAATTTTCTGACTATCTATTGGACGAATACCGGTTAAAAATGCCAATTTTTTATAAATCTTGCTCAAAGTCGGCTGACAATTACTGCGGGACC